TCCTTGGCTGATCCGTAACTTTGGTTTATTTTGGCACCGTACTGCCCAGCAGTCTGAAGACAGGAGGATTTCTGTACCAGCTACGGCACAGGCAGGACCACCGAGTTCTCCTGTTGTCCTTGGACACACAGGAACACGTCTCTGTTCCTCCTCCAGGAACGTCGTTCAGCCACTGCCAAGCACCCAAAGTTGGAAGGAGTGGCAGAGACAATGGTGGATTTAAAAAAAAAAACCAAAAACCAGGCTTTTAAATAAATGTCAAGTGGCTAGGTGAAAAACGAAAGCTCAAAGCAAAGCCAGTGCTGATCCAGAGCACGATCCACTGTCAGGAGCACGCCAGCCAGAGACCCAGGCCTGTGCAAGAGCAGATTACACAAGTCAACCGTGCTGGCCCAGTGCTCCGCGGGCTTCGACCCGCAGACTGGGACAAACTGGGGAACACCAACCCAAAATAAACAAGCACACTCAGTCACCAAGGAGGAAAGGCAAGGGACAGTGACCTCCCTGGCTGGCTGGAACAGGATCTGCTCCCCTCGATGGGATAAAGCTCCGGCTTCATCTTCCCAAGCCCATCATGGGACTGCGGAGGCCACAGGAAAACAACGGCTCACGGAGCGTAACAATCCACTGAACCCCTTACCACGAGGGTCACCGCTTTGGGCCGCACGGAGCACACGCAGCACGTGAAGTTCCGTCCCCCCTGCCGAGAGCTCTGTAAAGCCGCACCAGAGAGACAGACACCTCAGGAACGAATTCCCTCCTAGTCTCTGTTGTGATCCAGAGTTAACAAAATGCAATAAACCACACCAAACCCAATTCCCCGGTGTTAACTATACAGTAAGAACATTTATTTTGTGTTGACACTTGTAAAAGAAGTCTCTTCCAAGTCAGATGATTTGATATACAAACCAAAGCCACCATATGTTTTTCTTTTAGTCTGTCTATACTGAGCTCAAACTTATACAACGCGAATGCTTTTTTCCAAAACAAAATTACAAATTAAATCATAACAAAATACACAAAATTGACTGGACCCTAAGTTTAATTCACTGAAAGAATTCTTCTTTCCTCCAATCACCTTGAACTCCGCGCCTTGAACTCCGCTCTCCCCCAGCGTTTCCCTCGTCCTTCTGCTTGGCCATGAACTTCTGTAGAAATAAGGGTAGCCAGTGTTACTCCTCAGTCCGTGACAAGATCACGCTCTAAAAACAGCGCAGGTTTCACAAACGTATTAGGCAAAAGTCAGCCCACTCCTTTTTACTGGTAACGTGTGATCCGTACCAAAAACCACTCAAAAGTTTTGCTCTCAAACCGACATGCAGAGAGTCACCACGTGGGGAAGCTCCTGAGCGGGCTGTGGCAAAACACAAGATAGCAAGATTTCACATGACGACAGACAACCGTGTCTGGTCATGAAATACTCAGCAAGCCAGGAAATCAAACAAAACCATGCGTTTGGACACAGCGCCGTGCAGGTTTTAAAAATCACTTCTTAAAAGCGAAGAGAAGACAACACCTATTCCCAGGCCTTCCTTTACGTAGGCGATGAGATCAACTAATTTAACAATACCTGTGTCCCTGCTTAAAACTAAAATCCCTTCAAGTATTAATACGAGCTCCCCACACCACTCTGCCTAAAGCAAACATTATGAGAACAATATTCTTTTCACCCCTGTGTGTTTGGAGAAGCTTCAGCATTACCTCCATATTTTGCTGATGAAGCGGCGTCTTGCAGTGATTTTTCACAGACGTTTCATCCACGTAGAACAGCGAGCAGATCTGACAGAAAAAGCCAGCCTTTGGAACCAGGTAATCCAGATCTGAAGAGACAGCACACATGAGCATGAACAAAACACAGCTTTTAAAAAAAAATAATTTAAAAAAATCAGATTCCTTTAGCTAAATCTGCACAATTTGTTATTACTGGAAGTTAGTAAGTTACATTTTTTCAGTATTCAAAAAAAAAAAATCAGGCTTCTCATCCAAGCCGGCCACCTGCCCTGTTTCAATGAACAGAGGAGGACACGCATTTTCTGCGAACAGGGCAACCGGCCTTCTGGACCCGAAGCTCACTGCAACTACCGCAGCGTCTTCTGGCCTGAAAAGTGTTTTATACACAACTCATTTGCCAAGGTTAACCTCTGTCCTGCAGCGTGTTACGCAAGTGCCTTCTGTCACAGAGAACACTGCACAAGCCGTCCGGCAAGGATCCGTACTTTCCCAGCAACTTCTTTTGCAGTTTAAGCGTTATCAGTAGTTTCATAGAAAAGTGTTTTAGATGAGGATCTTGGGCAGGGGGGATAAATATATATATACACACACATGCACACACACACATATTTTTAAACCTATGCAAGCAATTCCCTCATTTCTATACATTGCAAGTTGGCAATAAAACTCGTAACAGGATTAGAATAGTAAGTAGATATTACACTGCACTATGCTAATTATAAATAAATTAGCCTATATTTGCAAATTTTAGGAAAAAAGAACTTGCCATTTTACTGCTGCTATAGAGCCAACAGCAGACACTTGATAAAAACACAAATTATAGGCCGTGACTTCCAAGTGAAATGTGGTAAGGGGGTAACAGAGGGATTTTCAGACGGGCAGGGAAGCTGTCTGCCAGCAAGGACAGCACGGAGCCTTTGGGCTGGGCTCGTTTGGGTTTACCTTTTGGAGTACTCTGCATCTTTGATGCCTCTGAAGAAGCCATTTTCTTCCGCTTGGACTCTGGTTCTTTATCTCCTGATCCCAGCTGGTCTACTGGAGGCCATAAATACACGTTAAACAAAGGAATCGCTGATTTTAGGTTTTTTTACACCGTCTGTACAGGCCTTGCTGTTTTCTACACTATTCCATTTGGTCTTTCCATAGTGCTATTTTCAGGAACTCCTGACATCAATCCCACGGGCAAGACTTCCACATACAGCCCCAGTGCTGCCGTGAAAGCCTCTGTGATTACGATCACAACACTCTCAACTTCTTTATAAAACAAGCCGCCAAGCTTTCTCAAATTAATCCAGCTCAAGGGCCAACAGTAGTGTTTCAGCTTCCTTACGGAACCAGTCAAAACCCACCGAGTAGGTTATCGGATTAACCAGCTCTAAGGAAAGATCAAAATGAATATTTTAAGACTTTTCCAGAGACAGGGAGTTTGACAGTCTCTCCTCTATTACAAGATAAACGATGTGTTTGGTTTTTAGCCTATCAAAGCAGTCCAACTGGCAGGTGAAGAGTCACACATCAAAACCAGCTGTTTTCTTTCTAATTCTACGTTCAAAGAATCTAGATGCCAACATGTCCTAAACAAAGTTAACGCACTAAGTCCTCTCCCTTAATAACACACCCCAGGCAGCTGTCAGAGGAAAGCAATGGCATCACCCTCGCATCCCCCAGACAGACAGTTCAGCGGACTGGGAGCATCTCAGCGTGTGCACCAGCAACACGCAGCGTTTCAGATTTGCCGTGCGGCTCTACACCAGCGGCAGTCCGACTGCCCTCGCCGAACCCTTGGCCTGAGGCGATCAATAAACCGTTTCCCCTTTTGCTGCTGGAATCAGATTTTTAAGACTTGAGTAATAGGGCTTTACTTGCTTTGACCTCTCCTTCCCAGTTTTCTTGTTCCACATCTCGAACTAGTCCTTTCCTAAGCCCACCTCTTTTGCCTGAGGTTTTTACTATCCAGCGAGCAACTAAAATCACTTATTTACTGTGTATCAAATACATTTATTATAATTTGTCACTACCAGTTAGAGCTGAAATCAACTCAAGGGCTTGGACATTTTAAGAGGTCTTTTTACAGCTAACTTGCTAACAGAACACAGAAAATACTTTGCATTTTCAGTATATGCTTTTACAAATCACGGGGAAGCCATGTTCTAGAGCACTAACAGATGAAAACCCAATCCTGGTGCAGAGCATCGGGCAGAGCTTTCACTCACCCTTTGGCCAAAATTTCTTGTCTGTTGGTTATATATAGCTCTCCCTCTCGGCTCTCTGTTAAGACTTCCTTAACCCTTTGCTAACTCCATGCTACAGATGTTCTTCTACATTTTTTCCTCTAGACCCTGCTGGAAGCTGTTACATCTTTGTGTGTTTATTTCATTTGACTCGCCTGTTTTAATAAAGTTTGGCCCCATAATTAAAGACTATATATAATCTGTACAGCGTTAGGTAGTTTACCAGGCCTTGCATTAAAGGCAAGGAAAGAAACTATTTTCCCCAATTTTAGCCAGCATAAACACCAAATGAACACTTTAAATCAACGTGCCGCCTAATCTTCCATCAAAAGAAAGATGCGTTGTAAACTGCATTAATAAAATATCCTACTTGCAGGCCGCTGTTCACTCTCGGGCTCTGCGGGGTTTTTTCCCAGCATATCTTTAATTAAATTTGTCAAAGATTTGGGGGTTTTCAGTTTCCTCTATTTGCTGCAAAGATCGCTTGGTGCGTGGCACCGATGACAAGCATCTTATTTTCTATTTCCCCTCTAGAAACCACGAGAGGTTCCTTACCTTTTGACTTTGAGATTGCAATAATTTCTTCTTCTGGACTCATATCTCCTAGAATTTCCATTTCTTCTGGTCCTGCAACAGCAACAATATCCTCCTCTTCTGGTCCTGCAATGGCAGCAATTTCTTCTTCTGGTCCTGCAACAGCAACAATATCTTCATCGTCTTCATCCTCGTTCAGATTTTTCCCTGGGAAAGTATTTTCTTCTTCTTCATCCTCCTCTCCAACTTCATCTACTGTAACAAAGTTTAGTTCCTCTTTTAGACAATGGAAATCAGCCAGAAAATCATCTTCATCTTCATTAACTTCATCCAAAGTCACCAGAGGATTATCTTCATTGTCCTCTTGTATTTCGTCCACTGTCACTAACGCACTGCGATCATCGGGCACCTGGGAGGAAGCGCAATCCCCCGTATCCTCAGCACCCACCCTGCCGTCCTCCTTCTGTTTCAGCACATCCATGTTCAAGTCCGTAGGCTCGTTCAGAGGCAGCTCTTCTACTTCACCGATTTCATCTACGGTTACCAAGGGTTCAGCCTTCAAATCCGGCTCCTCAAAAACAGACCTGGGGACATCTTTATGAGAAGTAAGGTCCTCCTGTTCAGATATCTCATCCAAAGTAACAAGCGACTGTGGATCCTTCACTGCTTCTGCCATGAGTTCTTCCTCTTCCATCACTTCATCCACCACAACCAGGCCCTGTGGGTCACTGAGCGCTTCTAAATTAGCGACTCCCATTAGCTGTGCATCCTCCTCCTCACCGATTTCATCCAAAGTGACAAACGAGAGTTCGCTTTCAGCAAGGTGAGCGATGGAGCTCTTCCCTTTCCTCCTCTTGGAACTAGGCTCACAGGAGGAGTTGGGTTTAGCACCATCTTTTCTCTTTCCCCTCGGTGGATTTCGCCGTGTTTTAACGGGAGACTCGATTTCCTCTACAACCTCATCCACAGTAACAAATTCATCCAGGTTAAATGGAAACAGCTCTTCTTCCTAGAAAGTGTCAAAATGTGAATATAACAAAGTTTAACACTCACCCTGTGACAAAAACACCTCCATCCACAGGGCGCTTAATGAAAAATGTCTGACTTAAGGGCACAAAAAATTTTCAGGTCTTCAATCTCATGTGGAAGAGTTTCCATTATCAGCATTTGCGTTAAAGTACACAGATTTAATTCAGAAACCCAAAGCATTTTTCAAAAACACAGCTGGATGAATAGACAAAATTTATTCTATTAAAAAGGACTATGCCGATACCCTGAACACTCATGTATATTTTTGCACTCTGTTGGAGGAAGACTAGTGAAAACTTAAACCTGAATACCTCCAGATCATCCTTCAAAAACACTGCTCTCTCCCGTCAGATCTCGTTCTCTTCCCTAAGCATACGATCTTGGCTGCTGCTACAAAACAGGAGACCACGTTAAACGTTTCGATCCAGCAAAGTCATTCTATGCCCTGATGACTCACTGCTCTCTCTCTCGCCTCTTCCCTCTAGGTTTCAATCCCCTAACGAACAGCTTGGCCTCGGGGAGGTTCTCCAATGGCCCTAGGCCCCAGCCCAGGAAAGGGCTCCCAGGACTGAACCCTCTCGTGTTCCTCCATGGCCGACATGCACAAGACGACAACTTTCTCCCCTCTGTTAAGCCCCACAGAGGCTCTGGCAGACTCGCTGCTCCTCCTGTGCCAGATGTCTCTCGTCAGGGGCCGGGGACAAGCTCCAGCTCTCTGGTGCATGCCATGCTGTATTGTTATGTTTGAGATGCCAGAGCCTGACCCTAATTCTCCCCAGTCAGTGGTATGCTCTTCCTGGAGCAGGTCTAGCATCTAAAACGCCTCCTACCCTGCAGCGTGACCATGCCACTTCCATCAGGGCTCCCACAATTTATTCTAGGACCACTGGAAAGAATTAGCAGCAATTTACTGCCCTATATAGCCGAGAACATCTGGAGGAGGATGTATGGATAGACTGAATTAACCCAAACTACTCTTAGGTTATTTGAACAGACAGCTGTTGTGGTTTTGGAACAGAGTATTATACTTTGCTGACTGTAGAACAGCTATGCTTTTATAACCAGGATGGTAGGGTAAGGTGGGTAAGATGGGTACCTGAAGTCAATTAATACATTAATTTCAGGCAGTAAAGCACATCCAAATACCCACTCCACCCCAAATCATGCATTCAGTGTCTTCCATGAATGATTCTGAAATTATTTATTTTTTTTCCCAACATATTCCATCCTACCATCAACCACTGGTTGGTATCTAACACAAGAGTGAACAAACTCTTGTCAAAGCAGAACTTTAAGGCGAAGGCAAGATGAACTTTCCTCTGTTAGAGAGCAAGACTGCAGCTAGGAAATACTAAAAACAGTCCTCCAGCAGAAAAAGGAATCTGAAATTCAAAGGTTACATGCCTTTTCTTCCCTTTCTTCTTTAAAAAGCTAACAAATACTAGGAATAATGTGTGCCTCCACCCACACTGATGCAGAAACCTGAGGAATATTTAACGCAAGGTGGGCACAGTAAAGAAAAAGAAAGAAACTATCTAGTTACATTCCAACTGAAATCAAACATTACTGTAGTACGCAGCGGTATGAAGTAACTGATGTTACAAAACCTTTTTTCAAAGGGTGCAGAATTTCTTCTTGGGGATTAGCAAACACATCTGGAACACCAGACACGAAAGCGTTCTCTCTTACCATCGCTACCACCAACCTCACAAACACACTGTGCCGGTGACGCGAGAACTTTACGTGGGTTACGATTAATAAACGGATTCAGGTCTCCGACTTTATCTCAGAAATCCCTTTTCTACAGAGACCCACTGCTTACCTGGTAGACCTTGGATTTGATCCTGTAACGCTACTTTTACATACTCATCAACGTGCAGTTTTATTATCTTCTTTCTGCTTTTCCCTCCCAAAGCTCAGGCTATTTAAGAGAGAGAGCCTTTAGGCTCCCAAGCTCTTCTTCCAACCAACGCTGTACCAAAAACGTACGGCAATCCTTGCTTTGCAAACAACCCACTGGAAATACCTTTGCATGGAAGAGGCACCACAGATGGAGATGTTCTGACTACCTCCTGCTGTACAAAATCATTTCTGAAGAGCTAGAAGACCTCGGCCTTCCTTCCTCTTCTCACAAGCGGAATGATGAATTGAGATCTTAAGCAGGCAATGGGGGATTCAGTGAATTAATTGTCTCTCTCAAACAAATGATATCCCAGGCCAAAAAACGCCTCCTCTTAACACTCCCTTCCTGAATTAAGTTTCTCTTCCAAATTACTTGGCTTTACAGCTTTATACCCATAGTCTGTAATAACTAGTAATACAGAAAATTCCTTAGGGAGAGACACTAAAGATTCTTAGTACACGCACACACGCTTTCAAGACAATCTGACGTTAAGTTCATTTATGGTTACATCCTTACCTCCTTTTGTTTCGCACTGCTGCTAGTGCCACTTTTTGAAGTTTTACTATTGCCACCAACAGAAGCCTGCAAAATTACACAAAAGTTCACATGAAATCAGTTAAGCCGACTAACCTGTCCACGACAGAAAAAATAATTTTAAAAAATTCAGCTATTTTTTTCCCTTAATGAATTTTTTTTAAGTTGTCCAGATTGCTGCTTCTGATCACATGCTTGGCAAATACAGAACTAAGCCAACTGTCAGCAGTAAAGTCCAGGCATACAGTCTCTAGCAACAAGTCACAGGTAATACCTTGCTTAGGAGCCTCTTTTCAGTAACCAGTGTCTGTGCATGACTTGACAAAGCAAATATCAGCTCACAAACGGACAGAAAGCTTATTAATTCCCATTCAGAACTAATCCAAGAACATAAAGTTATGACACTCAATAAAGACTCGCTTCAAAAATACCTTCCTGAAATTTTTTTCCAAGTAGCAGTTTCAAACCAGTTACATACTTGCGTTGCACACACTGCATCTAAAAGCAACTGGTTGCCCGCCATCTCTCTATTCCACCTTGTCTGTTGGCCCAAATCAGCTGAGTGATTTATTGAAAAGGGAAGGGGAACATAATCTCATTGTCCCATACTCAGCCTCTGAGAGAAGCACGGAGTTAGTTACTGATCAGGCACACTGAACCGGCCTTCCTGCCCTCCTCACCTTATTGCTGCTGTTGTCTGTCTTCATGCTGGATGATCTACTCTCTCCCTCTTGAGACTGTTTTGAACTAGCCCTAGATTCCGCTCGCGAGTCCTTCTCTTGCTGAGATGAATTCCTCCCATTGCCTCCCTTTCCATCAACAGCAGAACTTCTGCTCACTTTACACTTGCCGCCGCCATCTCCCAGGTTTGATCGGCTGCTCCCAGGTCGCAGATGACCCGCTTCTTTCGACGCGATTTTCTTCTCCACCGCTGCTTGGCCTCGGGTCTCAGGTTTCGAGGGAGCTTTCTGCTCCCCTCCTTTGCACAGGGGAGGCTCATTTCTCCGTACTGGAACCCTTGACTTTGACATATCCAGAAGAGACATCACTGCCTTTAAATTCGTTTTACCAACAGAGGAAGATTCCTCAACAGATAAGAAGGAGTTTAACGTAACTGCTTTGCAGGTTTCATCAGTTTTTGCTGGTCCTGTTCCTTTATTTTGATGTGCTTTGATTAAACTTCCCTCATTGACGGCATTTGCAGCATTTTCCACAGGAGCCCCAACCTTGGCCACAGTTTTTTCAAGTTTCTTCTCGGTCTCTGCCCCAGTCTTGACCAGAAGCTTTTCAGGGTTTTCCTCCACAGCTCTTCCAACTTGGAGCACAGACTCTTCTGGTTTCAGCTCTGCATCTGCTCCAGCTACGTCCAGTTTCTTCTCCATGGCCGCCTCAGTTTTAAGTACAGGTTTCTTTTCTGTTATCTGACTTACAGGCATTTCAGATTCAGTTTTCACAGCATCAGAAACAGGATTTTTTCCAGGAGCATAGAACCTGTCGTTTGTTTGCGTGACAACAGATGACGCCATCTCCGCCAAAGGTGCGTCAGAATGAGGGGGCACCACTTCGGGGACAGCCCCTCCCAATTCCCCCACTGCCGGCTTCACGGCACAATCTGGTGGCACACCTTCAGCCGTGCCTGCCTTGGACGACTCTTCCGGCGGTTTAGCTGCAGAAGCAGACAACTCTTCATCTTTCTCTTTCATTTCCTTCTCTGATGCAGACACAACAGCAAGTTGAAATGGCTCTGGTTCTGTATTATCTGTGACCACCTCTCCTTTCTCCACACCAGAAGAAGGCAGCAGCATCTGTTCTGACTTTGCTTCAGACGATTCAGATTCAGTGGATTTCATAGATGCCACAGCGGCTTCAACTCCAGCGTCCACTTTCTCCGCAGACGTTTCTGCCAGTCTCGGAGCAGACTCCCTGACTGCTCTTTCAAGATGGGACTCAGAGGGCTCTATCTGCACTGCTGACATCTTGTCTTTGACATTAGAGATGGAAACGGGTCCTTTCTTTGCCACACTAGGCTCTACTGGAGGATTAGCAGCTGCTGTTTGCACCACTCCTGATCCCTCTGGATATTTTTTCAAGCCAGAGCTAAATGCATTTAAAAAAAACAGAAGAAATCAAACTATGTTGAGAATTCTACAGTTACCAGTAACCTCTTGACGCCAATGGTGGGGGATTTCCTGATGCATTAGTGCTTAGCATTCGGAAATCTAGCCTATTGGTGTTAAAATGGTTAAAAATATTGAGGCGAATAGCTGATTAGTTTTATGCTTCTGTTTAATCCACCTCAGTACCGCAAGCCTCTTACACCTCCAGTTACATTACTTGTCGTCAGACCTCTCAAGGCAGTGCTCACTACAGATGTGCCCCGTGACCTCAGCGCCGGCATGGACTCCTAAAATTTAGATCCCCTGATGCCAGGCAGACTGTGAAAGTGAAAACAAAGCTTCAGTCTCCCTGTGTAAAGGAATCACTATAGGTTTATGTTTGAAGACAGCAGACGCTGCATTCACCAACCTAGAGAACTCCTCCAGTAGCTACAAGTCTGAAGTTTGCTCATTTTTTATTGTTTTGATTCAGGTTTGGGGGGGAGGGAGGGGTTGCTTTGGTTTTAAACCTCACTGAGCTGAGCTCGCACAATAGCGGGGAACACAATACATGCCCAGAGGCTCCTTCTGGCCAAGCTCTGTTTTCACTGCGAAACCCCGTCAGCTCCCAGGATAATAAAGCCCAAGATGACAATGCAGAGGACAGCACTTTGCAGAGAACTTGAGTTACAGTAAGGGCATTATTCTGAAAGAAAGAAACCTCCGTAGATGATCTTGACAGACACTGACACTAGAAATGTCAGTGCCCGTTCTCCCACCAAGCTCGAGAAAACGAGCATTCCAACCCTCATGCGTCTCTAGATGGAAAGGTGCCAAAACTCAGCACGTTTGTATAAACCCTCATGAAAACAGAAAAGAGCAGAGGAGTCTGCCATTTCGGTAATACTCCTAGCATGATGCAAGCAAGAACACGGGAGACTAGATCAAACGGGAGGGAAAGGCCAAGTCTGGACATGGGCAGATGCGAGGCTTAATGAGATGAAGACACAACGCACGGAGTCAGCAGAAAGATGACACCAGGCAAACTCCGGTAACATCTGCGCTTCACAAGCACAACAAAAACCCCTATCTCGATGGTTTGCTCTGGACCCGAGGGCACTGTCCTCTGCTGCTACAAAATGCAAGAGGAGAAAGAAGGGCTATGAATTCAGCGTCAAAAACTCTTTCACAAGACCAATTTAAAATGGGCATAGATGTACTGCATCATGACTAGGCATCAGATGGACGCCTGCAGCATGTTTCTCCCCCGCAAAATCCCGGGAATCCCCTTCAGAGCCTGAGTGGCACCACCCACAGTCACTGAGGTCTTCTGAAAGAAAAGCAGGTCAGCCAAACATCACACTCATCTCTAACAGGCTTCTTAGACCTGTGATCAGTTTAAACCTCTTACTTGCCCATGCTTTGAGTAAGCATGCCTCCTGAGTGGGTAAGTAGTCAAGGCTGATCTGCTTTTTATGCCACAGGACCAGTTTACTCAGTCACAACACAGAAGATATCAAAATACCGATTAAACGTTGTTTGTCTTCCAAAAGCAAAATTTCAGTTCATTGTCTTTTCTATTTGAGCATCCTACAGACCACTGAGCTTTAGATCTCGAGTGTCTGTGTAGCAAAGCATTACCTGGATAACTCCGAGCGCAAAGCCCAGAACGCAGCCCTGAAAGCCCGGGTTTGTCACTGGTGCATAGAAAGCTTCATTAAACTCAAGCTCTAATGTAAACTGTACCCACAGCCGCTCTTGTTGCTTTTTTTTTTGTGGGGAATGGAAAACCATGAGTGAATACTGGAACCACACACTAACTATGAAGCTTCCCACGAGTAGCACGCAGGTGTTATACTCTACACAACACAGATGAGATACTAGTCTCCGAATCCTCAGGAGTTTATGCCTCCTTTCACACCAACACCCACTCTGTGCCTTCCACAAAGCCCTGGTAGTCTCCAAAATACTGCGACAGAGCCAAACCAGACTGTGAAGCAGAGGAAGGGGAGCGCTGCAGAGGGGCAGCAATGCACAGAGATAAAGAGGAGTGAGCCTGATGAAGCATCAAGTGCTCGAAGAAACACTTAAAAGACCTGCAAGACAGATTTTCCTGCATAGAAGTTAGTGTAGAGGGTAAAATCAACAACAGAGACACAACCTGCTTCCTGCACATCAGCACAGGATGAAGAGGAGCAGTGGGATGGCCCTTGAGCCTTAACCTGGCCAAGAAAAGTTTCAGCTATTTTAGCCGAGGAAAACAAACCCCAACGAAATGCATCAGCACCCTTGAGAAGAGCAGAGGCTTGCATGTAAACACATCGGTCACCTCAGCCGCAAGGTGAGATGAACTACGCACTGGGGTTGGACAACCACCAAGCTTCCAGAAGCATCCCAAAGGCTCTTCAAGATCACCGTGATTATCAGCCCAGGCAACCGAGAGGGCAGCCCCTTCTGCTCCCCGAATTTTGCTACTCCTTCCCTCCCCAGAAACACGTGACAAGGTCTCCCCATCTACGGTAATATTGAAGATATGTCCTACTGCTTATCAAATGTAACTCAAAAGAGTAACTGGTCAGGTCACAGAGGCTTACAAGGAGAAGACAGCTGCCTCAGACAAGAACACGTGTGCTGTTCGTTGTAGGGGAAAATGTCCGGTTCCCATCCGTTCAGCAGCCACAGCAGGACGCTGGGCAGGACCTGGGGCTCACGTCAGTCACTTGTTTGGATTAATTACCACGGCTAGAGCCAATCAGTCTGGACTCAAAAAGGTTACCTGTGTGTCTGCCTATCTGAGTCAGAGAGAGTGGAGAAACTAAGTACTTCCAAAATGGACCAGGGCCCGCGGAGAAGTTTCATGACATCAGGAATCCCTAACTTCACTTTTGAAAGAAACGGGTTTTGGAAATGTAGAAACAGTCCATGATAGTATAATGGCATTACTTGAAATTGAAGTTTAGGACCATTATTACACAAGGTTTTTTTGGATTTTAATGATAAAACTTATTGAGAAATATGGATGAGTCACAGAAGGTGTTTTAAGTCATATTTGTTAACAAGAACTCTTATCATGATCTATCCATTTTTTAAAAAAACATAATCAAGACTCTAAAACCAACAAATAGTTACTCCACAATTAGTAATTCTACTACAAGCCACATCCATAAAACAATTTTAAATTGAACATACGGAAACCACCATTCCCCATTTCTAGGTTCTGATGTTAATATAGCATCTAAACAGTTTTGTAACTCAATTCAGGGACCTGTATCGCAGCATAAAGTTAATGTTAATAAGTTAAACAAGGAAGTTTCAGTTTATTTTTAGCATTTGGAAACAGAAACAATAGAGCCAGGTGCTCTGACAGAGGAAAGCACTGTAGGACGAAATAAAGCAATCATTTCATGGTTAAATACAACAAAAAACTGTCTTACCAACATGTATTTCCAAACATACTTTCCAGGACCTGCGGTAAAATCCTGCCCGTAGTTAGTAAAACAATAACACCACAACGAGCTACACAGAAAACAGGATTTTACCCCATTTGTCCATGTTCTTTGAAAGCCCCCGATTTCAAAGAAATCACAAACATTACAGCTCTACAGCAGCAGACTACACGTCCTGCACACACAGAACACACAGAAGCTTGAAAGAAGTAACAGCGGGTAACAGCTGATGGGTCTCACAGCAGGGAACAGTTGGTGGATCTCACAGCGAGCCTTTCCATCAAGCTTAGGTACAGAGATGGCTCAGCAATCTGCTTCGTCTTGGAGATGCATTCCATAAACAATATAGAGATATAAAAAAACCCTTATGTACTTGAAAGGCATACCTTCCTTTGCTTGGTTCCTCTTTCTTCGTTTTTTTCACAGCTTCAGCCTGAAAGGCAAAACCAGGGTTCAGTATCTACGACTTTCAGAAGGATCAGCACTGAATTTGCATAACCCAGCTAACTGATAACACCACTAACCCAAATTTAGGCATGTATCACCTGAAAGATCAAATGACAGTAAACCACTCTCAAACTGCTCCCCACAGAACCCGTATTTTGTAAGATGACAAATAAAAGTGCATGGCAGTGAAAGAGATTTTACTAAAAGTTTGCTAGACAGACCATGCACCACACCACTGTTTTGTTCATCTTGTCTTCAAAGCTGACATGGGTTTTGAGCAGAATGAGCTGCTTCTTTCCTGTAGTGGTAAGGATGCTAACGGCGGCAGAGCTCAGGGTGAACGCAGTTAGCGTGGCAATAAGGATTACACAGAAAACAGCAGCACACCTTTTCTAAAGACAAATTGCATTTCAAGCAAGTATCTGCAGAAAACCCAAGACCAGTTTCTATTCCTTAAAACCTGCATTTATTTCTTGTAGGATGACTACGTGTTTTCTGTTATGTAGAATAAACTTATGGTATAAAAGTTATATGAAATAATGTCATCTGAAAAAAAAAAAAAGACAACCACAAACCATCCAAGCTCTGCAGCTATCACAGTTAGTAATGTAGGTCCAAGCACTCTAAAAAAAAAAACTTTAAAAAACTCAATGTTGAAATCTCAATCTCTTCTGAAAGTAATCTACAAACCAAAATTGAAGACTATCGCTATTAGAAAGAACATCAGATAAATTCAATGCACATAGAATTCACTTTAATCTTTTATTTATGCACATAAATCCACATATCCAAAACCTTCACTGTTCCCTTTCTAAAAAAAAAACTTATTCCACAGATAAGCACCAAAAGTAATTTGAACATGTTATAATGACTTTATTTTGTTTTTCCTTCAGACTACCTTCTGATTGAAGGACTTCTAGAAAATACAGCTTATGGCAAACGGAGCTACAAGCTTAATGTTCCTATGGTGCCTAAGCATGTAATTCAGATTCTGGCAGCATCACCGAGAAGACGGACAAGAGTTAACAGGCTCAAAATGCAGTACAGAACAACAGATGGAAAAAACGCAGTTTTCCCTCTTATCAGCACGACCAGGCATTTGTCTCTCCACCTCAGATATACCTAAAAATAAAGCTTAGGAGTTTATCTCCAAAGTACAGATTTACTTTAATATTTGTGCAAAAGCGGCGACAGTGGCGCTGACAAAGACTGGAAGGACACCAGTTGCAGCCATGCTCTATGATTCTGCATTCCAGTTGCACATCCTCCTTCACTGCTCCAGGAGTTTCCCCCCAGGTTTTCATTACTTCAGCAGTATTAAATTCAGACACGATCAGCAAAATTACAGAAACAAAACTATAACGTGATTAAGCGAGCACTTACATTACTGCTGTTACTATGCCACTGGCATCAGTTACTGCTATCTGGCTGGTCACCCTCTCTAACTCAGACAAGCACTCTGTATCACCCAAAGTGTGCAGCTGGAAAGAAATATTATTTTGAAAACAGAGTGTGAATGCCATTCTTTGTTGGCATTGAACTCTGCTCTGATGAAACATTTATAGTGACAAAGGCACGTTATTCGGTTGCTACACAAGATATAAGGAACAGCTATAAAAAGCAGATTTGAATCACACACTGTTCCCACAATGCATCCTTGACAGACATTCTTTAGCATGAGCACTTTAACGAATGATATTTTGCTTATTTTTCATTGCTAAGGGAGCTTATTACTTACATTTTCTAGACTTGAGAAAAAGCTTGTAAGTCTGAAGATTTGGTTATTTTCTTCAGCTACAAAGTTAGTCTAACAAAAGACATTACTCTTAAATGCATCCGACATCAAACACAATTATAATTTATGTTCCTTAAAATTATCTGAAGGTCACTATATAAACTGAAATACAAAATAAAGTGGCTCGGAAGAAGAGCATGTTTTGTCCCATACAAAGAGTCAGCAATGGGGAAAATCATCCCTGCAGTGGGGAAGAGGAGAGAGAGAAAAACTCTTGGAACGTCTGATCCGGGCTCTCACATCCAGCAGAAGATAAAAGAGCACCCTATGCCTCTGCACTCACCCGATCCCAGCTATCAGGAGCAAAGTGAAACCAGTACTCTGAATCATCAAACAGGTAATTAAAAAGCATTTTCAGTGTTGCTATCTCGAGTCTAGGCTGACAGAAACTTTAGCAGGCTCCTCATGAACAGACTGTGTCCCTGCAGGCACAGACGGAGGCCCAGGACAGGGTGGGAAGAGCTGGGAAGGCAGGCTGACCGCTGCATCTCCACAGCCGCTTCCAGGAGTCGTGCTGGCAGAAAGGCAGAAAACTAACCGACTGTACGCAGACTGGGCTCTGCACGGGCACAGGGATTGCCTTGGAAAGGGGCACTATTAGTCCAGGCAAAAGACACCCGTGTGCCCACATCAAATCTGTGATGGTTTAGGATGTGTGACAATACCGTCAGAGGTGCACTGCAACAGCTGTCTCAGGAGAGCCTCACCAGAAAGGCAGGACTGACACAGTACGGCTTTAAAAACGTGACTCCTAAGCACCGCACAGCAACCCTACAGACTCCCTAAATCAGGATGCTTTTCAATAAAGCAGAAGAAATTGCCAATACGACAGAGGGCAGACTATGATACAAGCCAATGGTCTACGATACAACCTATTCTTTAAAAAAACCACTGAAATTCATTGTGATGCTCGGTGCAAATAACACCGCCAGCTGTGTCAGCTCAGTAAGTAGAAGGACACATCTGGGTGACTTTTTTTTCCTCCCTGTTGAAGTAACAGACTGATGCCCTTGTTATCTTCAGGCACCTGCAGTTAAACTTTCTCCTGGGATGAATAAAAGTGAAGGGGGGGAAAAAAACCTAAGATGCCCTGCCCCTCCGGGCACATCCTCTTGTTTCAGTGGTAGCCCAAAGCCATGGCACTGAAAAGGAACAGCAACACACAGGGAGTGAGAGCTCCAAGAATGGAATTCACATGGATAAACACTGAAAATAGATCCACAAAAAAACCCAACAAAACAAGAAACCTCTATACACATTTTGGTCTCAATCTCGACAGTATACAGTTCATGCTGAACTAGCTAGTTGGTCCCTGTTCTCTCAGTTAGATGTAAGCTTTGAAGAGCAAACCCAGCTGGAATTCAGAGGAATAAAAGCCAACCTATACCCGCCCTAACATAAACACAGTTGGGAAGATGTGGCAAGAGATGGAGAGTCGGTCACTGGACAAGCGAGTCAAATTATGTTGTTGGGTCAGGACACGAGAAAGGAGCTGAAAAATGAGAAGAAGGGGGCACACAGAACTGGTGAAACAGAAAAACCTCATGTTCGAGCGCAGAGTAAACTGCACTTTACCTCCACACCGTGAGAAGGATTGCATCTGGATTTACGTTCTCCGCTTTGGAAGCCAGAACACTACTAGCACGTTGCTAATGTTCACATTTTATCTCTCCAGTGTGACATGCACTAAGCTCCTTCCTCTCTGGTGTTCAGCGGCTGCAACTTGCTGTTCCTTCAGCAAATCACCAGAAGTAAACTGGGAGCTGCTCAACACTGCAAGTGATTTCATTTCCAAGGGAGAAGCTGGAAGCAGCAAAGCTGACATAGCAACTGAGCCTGGAATCAAGGGGACTAAAGCAGATGAACTGCTGAAGATGAGTCAAACTACATCAGAAAAAACCTCTACTCATTTCAATTCTCAATCCTTTTCTAACTAGTGCTATGCAGTTGCTTTCCTCCTTTCTTCCTTGTTCCCTTCATCCTTCATTAAGAAATACTTTCACTGTCAGAAAGAGATGCTGTACATGTTTGTAAAATATAGAAAGAGACAAAAGGCAAAGAGCACCACGCACTTTCACACCCATGCCACATCCCAGAATACGGACGAGTTTTTTTTTGCAGTTTTCACTCTCGCCCGCAACGACAGCAAACAGTGAAGGAAATACTGACGTCACCACCATTAGCTGCTCTTCAGGGAAAGGTGGTTCTATTCCACAAAAATAAGGTATTGAAAAGAAGAAATCTTACCTCAGCAGACTCTCCATTGGGCGACAAAGTACAGGTCAAGGTATGCTCACCCATATTATAGGGATACTGCTGCAGGAAGCTGTACATTGACCTGGCTGACTTGGGACTATCCAGCTGCAGAATCGCCTACAAGAAAATAAAGCACAAGCTTCAAATAACTGCTACTTCATCTTATTTCTCTGCTGCAGAACAAGTTCAGTAAATTCAGTTGGTATAGCTTGGGATATCCAGTAATCCTGAAGGGTTTCAACATCTTCACTTGAAATACACTATAAGCAGCATTTGTTTGTTAAATCCTATGCTCTTGCATATGGAGAACAGCAGACTCTTCTTTCTGAGAGCCTAAGAAAGAAATCTCTCCTGTTTGGAATTATCTTTAGAACTAAATAAGGAACTACATCACAAAACAGTGGGGCCTGGAGCTTCCCTATCCACATACGTCCGACTTTCTGGCTATAGAGAAGTATTATCTTCTCCTTCAAAGCATTTTCACCTGTTATACGGTTTATTAGCAGCTGAACACTTAAAATAGCTCAGAATAATGGGAGCACAATTGCACTTTAATTGTTAAAAATATGCATATACACACAGTGACTTAGATCTAGTTTGTAACAGAAAAATCCAATGGTAAATGTAAAATGAGTAACATTAAAATATCAACATTTTAAAAAGTAAAAATCAAGTCACTACATTTTGAAATGTCCCAAAACAAAAAAATAAATTTCAGCAACTCTGACATTTTCACTTCTCCTATCAAAATGCATGTTTTTCCCCAAGTTTACTACAAAATGGGAACTAATTTTCCCCCCACTTATACCTCTAATGTCAAAGGGTAGTCATTTTTCCAGCCATTTGGGAAGCTTTACTTTCAGAGCTTACTAAACTCTTCTTGTGTTGTTCAGGCTAGCTAAGAGCTCAAAGTTTGTTTGGTTGGTTTTTCCCCTTTCCCACTGCCCCCAACAAATAAGGCAAACTATTTTCCTGTTCAGGATTAGTGAGAAAGAGTCGGAAACTTTGGTCTCTCATTATCAAAACATTCTTGGTACTGGGAGATGAAAAAAAACCTTCCTTTTTATAATATTTTTTTTGGTAACATGATACTTTGCACCACAGGAAAAAAAAATACTTACCTTGTTTTTATTTTTCAGTACAACATAATGATAGACTTTTCCAAATCGAAGTCCCACACAAACTACTTCAAGTTCTCTGTATCCATCGTCTGGCAAGTTCCCAAGATGCACAAACTGATTATGTATAGTTTCGGTATCCACCTAAAGAAAAGCGATGACAAAACACGCTTTAACTTACTAACGCACTGTATTAGCAATTACTGAACCCAGTTCAAAAAGCCTCGCAGAAAGCTTCTGTATCACTCAGATCTCATTGACACAAAGAGCATTCACACACATCCAATGTTCACATTTTCATATTCACACCAGATTTCTCACTTTTCTATGCAGTATATCAGAAGAAGCAGCTATATACTTCCCAGTAAAGAAAACCAAACTCAAAAGGATCAAGTTGAGTGTCTTATTTTAAATTATCATTTAAATTTTTTAACTACCTAGTAAAAGTCTCTTTAAGGAACACTGCAAAATATAGCTGAAGTTTAATTTTATTTAAATTTGGTATTTTGAAAAGCAGACACTATCTAATCAGATTATAAATCGGTCAAGGCACAGAAACCTATCCAAAAGACTCTAATTTTGGTTTTTAAGTTGGAGTTTGGTTTACTTGATCAGTTTGTAATACCATAGAGATCCTTGGTCAAATATCATTCCTTGCATTACTCGGTTTTCAGACAGAGTTGTCACCACCCCCATGGGGACAGGCGCTCAGTAAGTCTCTTCTGAGATGGAAGGATTCTGGTGCAGAAGGTGGGAGTGGGCTGACAGCCAACAGAACCCACCGTCAGCACCGCCACAGACTGAATCCCAGCACCAAATCCTCTGCAGAGGATCAAAGGACACAAAGTCCAAAGGTACTAGGAGACTTCTGAAATCTTCAACAAGCCTTGTCTTTAACCACTTGAAAGCTGTATGTCTTTTAGAAACACAACACTCCCAAGAAGCAAGAGATTCCTCCCCTCCAGGTCTGGTATGTTTTTCTTCCATTATTCATCACTTTACCAGGAGCAGAAAAGAAATAATTTCTCCACAAGCAGATCAGAGGCGTAAGTAGAATACAGCAGGAGAGAGATGGCAGTAAGTACTCGGCTGTTTCTGTTAGTGCCAAACAGCCATCATAAAGAAAGCAGATAGCCCCCTGACACATTTCAAGTGAAAATTCAAACCTTTTGGGGTTTGGTTTTTCACAGAAGACACAATTTCATTAACCTCTGCCTACCTACACTGTATACAAATGCTTTGCACATCAACTGCTGGCTTGTGCTGTGTGCGGTGAAGGAAGAGGAGGGACAATTAGGGAGACACACTACTCCAAACAAAGCACAGAGGTAGTTTGGGCAGTTAAACCAAAGTATCTGTCTATAAAACACACCGGGAAAACAAGTGGCATTACGTACAGGCAAACACTGTGTATCCTCCAAGCTATAGTGGTCAGCAGCTCGCTGTTAGAACATGAGACAAATGTAACAGAAGGGGAGGGTGTCAAAGGGCTCTTACGAAATGTTTAATTCCTTGCACTTCATGCATCATGGAGCTACACTAAGTGAACATTTACTCATTCAATTCTCTGCTCATTCGCCCATGAAAACATATACAAACATTTAAATCAAGAGAGGGTTAGGTAACAATTCAATTAGCTAATATTTCAGTGTGAAGGATACTAATTCAAATTTAAAGTAATGTATTTTGATAGCACGTGGGGGGCAAGTTAGACTGCTAGCAACTTACCTTGGGATCAGAATCTTTAATTACAGCAGTAAATATTGCTTCCTTTAAAAAAAAAAAAAAAAAAAACACTGTAAGATTTGAACTGTGAAATACAGCTTTGCCAGCAGCAGCTATCTGGCAGTCACTGACTCCCAACAACATTTAAGCTTCTGCTTTATTAATAAAAATCAACAGCAGCAGCACTTCTGACATTGGTGCTATTCTCGTATCAGAAGACCAGGACCCAAAGAGACACTGAACAGAATCAGTCTGCAATGGGACAAACCATCGGAACACATAAAACAGGCAGTGTACTAAAGTCAGCTTAAATACAAAACCCTGCTCTGTACTGAAATGTCATCACCTCTCCCAGAATTTCAGTATATTTTATTACTTACATCATCTTTTATGGTCTTATACTGAGGCACCATGTTGATGCAGAGCTGATTTCCATCCAGTGACATTGGAAAGCAGGTGTAAAATTTAACCATGGAATCTGCAGATTTTCTATTTATTTCAAGATATGCCTTTTAAAATAAACAAAAAAATTTTAGAAAATTGTAATTTATCAACAGCATCTCACATCAACACTTGCTGCACTACCTTACCACATTTGCACGTGTTAAAAACACATTCCCCGCTTCTCTAGGTGGAAACACTACTAAATACCAATTAGAATACCTTTTTATGAGACGATAAAATTAGCACATCCCTCAGGCCTCCAAACGGCTTTGCTAGGTTGGAAACTTCCTCAACAGAATAGCCTTTCTCAGGCAGGTTTGAAATAAGAACCACGCACATATCATCAAGCTCCTGTAAACAAATGGAAGTAAACATTACTTAGATTTCCTCAACTCCAAACCCAAACTTGGCAGGGAACATTTATTTTCACTATGTAAAACCACCATTAAAAGCATGTTGTAATACCTGCAATTACGTCAAAACCAAAGATCATTTAAACCTTTCAGGATTCAGTAGCAAAGCATATTAAACAATTTCTTTAACTCCCTTCTCTGTCAGGTAATCACCTAAATTATTGTGTAATTGTGGATGTATCTACATCTAAGCTGATTCTGCACAAATCTCAGGTTGTTTTGTGCTACCTCATCCAAAATGCGAAGGAAATGAAACCCCCTATAACCAGGCCACTGCTTTACACCCATGAGATGCCCGCACATCAAATGCTGCGGGCCTGTACGTGCAAATACCGCGCATCTAAAGAGAAGAAACCTACAGAAGGGCAATATCGATGATCAGAGCATAAAGGAGCTTTGGTGTGAGGAGCAAACTCTGAGGGGGGCAAAATAAAAACCAACAACAAAGCAGAAGAGTGAAGTGGTAGGTGTCTATCAGATCACAAACAGCAAGGAGAGAAGAAACCCTTCAGTCTTTCTCCCAAGAAATTAACAGGCAGGGGATGTCAGTCGGGTTTTCACACAACACACCAACACTTGGAAACCGGCACCGAGTGGCACTTACAACGTCCACCAGTTCGAGCACCCTTACACTGACCTTGTCAGCTGGTTCCGTTGACTCTTCACTCTTTGTAGTTGCTATGGCAGCTTCTAAAAAAAGGGGGGGGGAAAGGGGGTTAGTACTTCAGCAGATTTCTGTAAATACTGGAGAGCTTTGAGAAGTTCTGGCATTACACTTTATCACCACTGTCACTGTGAAAAAATGAAATATTCCTTCATTTAACTTACAGTGACAAATGGCACTGGTGAGAGATGTGCGGTGTTACGTAAACATTTCTAGAAAGAACGGGTTTAAGCAAGGATAAAAAAAAGAATTAAAATCCCTTAATTAACATGCAAACACTTTGCTTATCAGTTGAATAATCACAACCACAAGACTTTCTTGTGGGCACACAGGAACTATACAGATGCCCGGCATGTGCCCACGCTATCTTTCTTTTTCTTTTTCCTGAGATGAATCCACAGTGATATGGGAGAGAAATACAGACGGCAGGAATCAGGAAAACAGCAATCACACAGGACAGGCAGGCGCAGGGAAAGGAGAATCTCTTCTGTAAAATGTTTCTATCTACCTGTAATAGGTTCAGCAACAACAACCTTGCCATATCTCCTCTCACATCCATAGTAACTGAGAATTAATATCCTCTTATGATTAGTAACAGACTTTGTTTTAAACAGAGCAGTTATAAAATGTGGGAAAAACAGCACTTATTGAGCCAGCTCTAGCAGGCAATGTGAAGCACTGAGATTACAAGAACTGGCGGTGGAGCTGTGAACACAACATACAGAAAACCTGAGTCCTTTGCTCTAATGAGTTGTAAATGCCGCACTGAAAAGGTCTAAGCAAAAATACTGTGTCCACTGAAAAATGTAAATACTGGGTGGGTTTAGCCACTTCAGTCATCACAATGAACTGCGGTTTTATATTTCAGTCAGGGAACTTATTTTAATAATTTTCTTTCCTGATATCCTGTGTCATCCTAATTTCCTGGGCTCAAAAGCATTCTCATTTAGTTCACAGTAAAAGAGATGTTTGAGACAGAAATGAGAAAAACCCTGTCAGTTTGCAATTTGCCTTGATCAATTAAAGCTTCCTGAACTCATTCAAGTCCAACGCCACCATCTGAGGCACCAGTGCAAGCTCCTCTAAAAATGAAATCAATTCAAGAAGAGATCATGACGTTAAACTTCACATGACTTACAACGAGTAAAGTAACTTCAAAATGTTATTATCGTACCAGAATTACCCGGTACAGGTACAGGATCAGTCACTCCTTTGGACTGAGCCTCTGCCATCTCCACAGGCTCCGGAACTCCGTCCCCTTCGTTCTTTGGGTCTGACAGCTTAGTTTCCCTGACTTCCATTTCAGCTTCTGTTGAGATCTGAAGGTCTTCATCTACAGATTTTGCTGGTAGGCAACAGCAGAAAAAAACATTCTTCGTATCAGTGTATGAAACTAATCCGTTTGCAAAAGAACGAACTACACTATGATTTTTTCTGTCAGACATCCAGAGGCCTCCTATCACATAAACTCCTGCTCCCCCTTACAAACAAAATGTAAATACAGGAAAAGCTCATTCCAGCTTTGCATAACAACTGCGTGGCTGAAGCAAGGTGAAAGGGTCTGCTTCCCCAACTCATCTGCTCTCCCCGGTTCCTTGCTATCCTAGATCTGCAAATGACACTGATTATCACTGCCTCAGCCAAGTCACCAGGAGCAAGAAGGGTGCTTGCTTCTCTGACAGTCTGCTACGTCGGCAAGCCCAGGAAAAGGTGGGAAAACTTGGACTAACTACCCTGAATATTTGTTCTGGAATGGCGGGGGGACAGAAAAGCACCTGCCCATGTTTTCCAAGTAAAGAGTAAAAGTTCTCATTTGTCTTACACGCAGTATTTGAAGTTTTCTTGATTTTGCTTTCTCCTGCCATCGTTGATTTCTTAGTCTTTTCCTTTTTACCTACACGAAATAACCAAAACCAAGTGTCAGTAGAAATGCTTATTACTTAAGTTACTTAGAAAGAATATAAAAATACATACAAAAATAGTTTAATCTGCAGCAATTCAAATGATCTGACAAAAAACCCCAAATCCTAAACCACAAGTTAATTCCACGAATGAAAGCCATGAAGCAGAGACTCTTCTGTGAATTTGTTTAGGATGCTGGTGCCAAAA